AATTTTATTTTACTTTCTGGTATAATTTCCCTAGCTAGTACCTGGAGTACAATGTTGGATAGAGTATTAAAAGTGGAAATTTTGGTCCTGTTCCTAGACTTACCAGTAAAGTAGTCAGTCTTTCACTATTAAGTAAAATGCTAGTTGTAGATTTTTATAGATGACTTTTAGCAGAACTCACTTTTTTTTTCTATTAGTAATGTTCTGGAGTTTTTATCAAAATGTGTGTTGGATTTTTCTCCAGTGTTTTTCTGTGTCTATTGAAATGTTCTTTTTGTCATATATTCAAGTAATATTGTGTATTGTCGTAATTGACTTTTAGATATTAAGCTAATATTGCATTTATGAAAATAAAATCTCCCTTGGCTATGGTGTATAATCACCAATCTTGGGCATCATGTCCAGTGAAATGCATGCCTTGGTCTCTCTCTATCAATGTATTAAGGCCATCTGTATGTGATACTGACCTTAATCCAAGCCATTAAAAATGGCCGTTTGGTTTGGCCTTTCGCAAGGGAAGGCCTGCAGCAATTCCATGGCAGTATCTACACATGTTAATGCATACTTTTGACCCAAGTTTACTGGCAGGTGTTCAGTGTGGTCAAAAACAGGGACAGCTGTCTTATGTATGTGTCCAGGTGTATGTGGGATGATACAAGGGCACAGATGGAAGCAAACTAAGCAGTTTGTTAAGGCTGTGGCTAAATCTGCACAATCTGTTCTGTTTGCTATATGCCAGCTCCCTCTTGCACTGCAGTGCCTCCAACTTGTTTTCTTCCTCCCCAAATATAACCAAGATCTTAAAAGTTAACATTGCAAATCAACTTTGTCATTTCATACAAATGTTTTAATACAGGACATTTGTTAAAAATTACTTTTTTATATTTATTTAGGGGACACAAGTGCCAATTTCTTTTTTCTTTTTCCATTTTTTTTTTTTTTTTTTTTTTTTTTTTTTTTTTTTTTTTTTTTTTTTTTTTTGAGATGGAGTCTCACTGTGTCACCCAGGTAGAGTGCTGTGGTGTGATCTCATCTCACTGCAACCTCTACCTTCTGGGTTCGAGGGATTCTCCTGTCTCAACTTGGGACTACAGGCTCACAACACCAAGCCTGGTTAATTTTTCTATTTTAAGTAGAGACAAAGTTTCACCATATTGGTCAGGCTGGTCTTGAACTCCTGACCTCAGGTGATCCACCCACGTCGGCCTCCCAAAGTGCTGCGATTACAGGCATGAGCCACTGCACTTGGCCACAACTGCCAGTTTCTTCCATGCATACATTGCATGGTGGTGATGTCTGGGCTTTTAGCATACCCAACACCCGAATAGTGAAATTTCTGCCCAATCATTTCTCACCCTTCACTCTCCTTCCACCTCTTACCTTTTGTGGATTCAGTGACTGTTATTTCACTCTATAAGTCAGTAAGTACCCATTATTTAGCACCTACTTATGAGATCAAACAGTATTGAACGTTCTCTTCCTGAGTTATTTCACTAAGGAAAATGGCTCCCAGTTTCATCCATGTTGCTGCAAAAGACATGATTTCTCTTTTTTTATGGCTGAGTATTTTGTGGCCTATGTGTACCATATTTTAATTTTTTAATTTTTAATTTTTGTGGGTAAACGTAGATGTTATATGTCTATAAGATATATGAAATATTTTGATACAGATATACTATGTGTAATAATCACATAGGGATAAATGGGGATTCATTATCTCAAGCATTTCTTCCTTGTGTTATAAACACTTCAATAAGTTATTTTTAAATGTAGAATTACATTATTTTTGATTATAGTCACCCTGCTGTGCTAGCAAATACTACATGTTATTGTTTCTATTTTTTTGTACACATCAATTATCCCCACTCTCCCACCCACTGGTAACCATCAGTGGATTATGGGCTGGGGGGTGCATATCATTCTCAGCCTCTGGCAAACACCATTCTACTCTCTATCTCCATGAGTTCAATTGTTTTAATTTTTAGCTACCACAAATAAGTGAGAACCTGCCAAATTTGTCTTTCTGTACCTGGCTTATTTTACATAATGTGATGCCTTCTGGTTCCATCCATGTTGCTGCAAATGACAAAATCTTATTCTTTTTTACACCTGAATAGTAGCTCATTTTTGTACGTGTACCACATTATTTATACTTTCATATACATTTATACTATATGAACACTTAGGTTGCTTTCATATCTTGACTACTGTTAATAGTGCTGCAATAAACATTGATTGCAGATATCTTTTTAATATGATGATTTATCTCCTTTTGGCTATATACCTAGAAGTAGGATTGCTGTAGCTAATGGTAGTTCTATTTTTAGTTATTTAAGAACTCTCCATACTGTTTTCCATAAAGGTACTAATTTACGTTTCCACCAGCAGTGTGTAAGTGTTCCCGTTTCTCTGCAGCCTCACCAACATCTGTTGCTTTTAGACATTTTAGTAATAGCCATTCTGACTCATGTAAGATGATATCTCATTGTGGTTTTCATTTGTATTTCTCTGATGATTAATGATGTTTAGGATCTTTTCATATGTTTACTGGCCACTGGCATATGTTGTTTTGGAAAATATCTATGTTATGTCCTTTGCCCACTTTTTAATGGGGTTACTTGTTTTCCTCTTGTTGAGTTGTTTGAGTTCCTTGTAAATTCTGGGTATCAGCCCTTTGTCATATGCATAGTTTGCAAATATTTTCTTCTGTAGTTTGTCTGGTTACTCTATTTCTTTTGCTATGCAGAAACTTTTTAGTTTAATCAAGTCTACTTCTGTTTTTGTTGTGTTTGATTTTGAGAATTTTGTCATAAATTCTTTGCCAATGTCTAGAAGAGTTTGTCCTAGGTTTTCTTTCTTCCAGAATTTTTATAGTTTCAGGTCTTAGGTTTACATCTTTAATCCATCTTGAGTTAATTTCTATATATAGTGAGAGGTCTAGTTCCAGTTTTATTCTTCTCCATACGGCTATTCAATTTTCCCAGCACCATTATTGAATAGGGAGGGTGTCATTTCCCCAGCGTACATTTTTGTTGGCTTTGTCAAAGATTGGTTGTTTGGATGGTTGATTGGATGTGACTTTGTTTCATAGCTCTTTATTCTGTTCCATAGCTCTTTATTCTGTTCCATCTATCTATGTCTATTTTTATACTAGTACCACGTTGTTTTGATTACTGTAGCCTCATAGTATCATTTGAAGTTGGATAATGTGAAGCCTCTGGCATTGTTCTCAACCCATTGATTGATCAGGAACGTGCTGTTCAATTTTCATATATTTATGTAGCTTCCAAAGTTCCTTTTCACATTGGTTTCTAGCTTTATTCCACTATGATCTGAGATAATTTGATTGTTTCAAATTGATATAATTTTGATTGCTGTAAATTTTTTATGACTCGTTTTGTGGCCTAACATGTTGTCTCTCTTGGAAATGTTCCATGTGCTGATGAAAAGGATGTATATTTTATAGTTGTTGGATAGAATGTTCTATAAGTCTGTGAATGTCCTTTGGTCTAAAGTAAGTTCAGTGTTTTTGGTAATTTTATTTCTTGGTGATCTGCCTAGTGCTGTGAGTAGGGTGTTAAAGTCCCTTCTATTAAAGTCCCCTACTGTCAAATCCTTTCTTTAGGTCTAGTAGCATTTGTTTTGGGTGCTCCTCAATTGGGTGCATATATATTTAGAATTGCTACATTCTCTTGCTGACAATTGTTATATCTTCTTGCTCTCAAATGATCGCTTTATCGTTATGTAATGACCTTCTTTGTCTTTTATTACATTTTTTGATTTAATGTCTATTTTAGCTGATCTAAATATATCTACATCTGCTTGTTTTTGGTTTCTGTTTGCATGGGATATCTTTTTTCACTCCTTTGCATTCAATGTATGTGTCTTTACAGGTGAGTGTCTTATAGGCAGCATATAGTTGGATAATATTTTTAATAAATTCTGCCAATCTGCATTTTTTAAGTGAGGAATTTAATCCATTTACATTCAAGGTTGATGTTGATATGTGAGGCTTCGTTCCTGTCATATTATTGATTATTTTCAAGCTGTTTTATAAATTGTTTCTTTATTTTTCTTTTTTTGTCATGATTTGATGACATTCTGTTGCATTGACATTTGATTCCTTTCTCTTCCTCCTTTGTGTGATTGTTTTTTATAAATACGCAAAGTGAGCTTTATATTTACATGTGTTTTTGTGATGGTGAATATTGAGCTTTCATTTCCATGCTTAAGACCACTTTGAGCATTTTCTGTTGTGTTGACATAGTGTTGACAAATTCACTCAGCATTTGCTTTTCTGGGAAGAACTTTCCTCTTCATTTATGAAGCTTATTCTGGCAGGATACAAAATTCTTGGCTGACAAATAACGTTTTAAGCATATAGAAAATACACAAAGTAATGTAATAAACCTGTCACCCAGCCTTCATAGTTACTTGTCATGTGCCATTTTTGTTTCATCTACATTTCAACCCACTCCTCACCCCTCCAAATGTATTATTATTTTAGGGTTTTTTTTTTGTGAGACAAAATGTATATACATTAAATGGTAGAACCTTAACTGTACCCTTTCGAGAAAACAGTACACCCGTATAAACTTCCTCTTTCTAAGAATAAAATTCCAGTCTGGGCAGGGTGGCTTATGCCTGCAATCCCAGCACTTTGAGAGGCTGAGGCAGGTGCATCACTTGAGGTCAGGAGTTTGAGACTAGCCTGGCCAACATGGTGAAATCCTGTCTACACTAAATATACAAAAATTAGCCTGGTCTGGTGGTGCATGCCTGTAATCCCAGCTACCCTGGAGGCTGAGGCAGGAGAATCTCTGGAACCCAGGAGACCAAGGCTGCAGTGAGCTGAGATCACACCACTGCACTCCAGCCTGGGTGACAGAGGGTGACTGTCTAAAAATAAATAATAAAATAAAATAAAATAAAAAATTCCCCACTTAACAGTTATTCATGTGCATGTGAATCACATGGGAATATTATGTGTCAGAGGTTGAAGGGGGACTAGGAAAAGTATTTTGATGGCAGGCTGGAGAACATCATGAGAGTAAACATTGGACCTGTTGACTATCATCTTGGCAATAAGTGTTGGGTCCTGGCCAAAGTGCTTGGATGCAACATGGGGCCAATCAATAAATCCATCCCCCATGCTTTTCCTGGCCCTGAGGTAATCAGCTACCCAGTTCACGTCTTGATGGGAAGCTCTGCCATGTGAAAGGATGACTCTCAGGTTTCTTGACAACTGGGTGACTTTTGAGAACAGATCTGGGACAGATCTATTCTTGGATTGTGGTCAGGCATCGGCCTACTTACATCATATGGAACAGGTGACATCCAAATACGTTAAGAACCTCTGACAATGAAGAGAAGAACACAAACTCAATTTTTACAGGATCTATGAAAACATGTTATGGTAAAAGAAATACAAATGGGTGTTTCTCCCATAAAGAGGCATCCAACCTCAGTGGGGGTCATAGGAAAATAAATTACACACAAAAAAATGTTTTGTGTGACTATCAGTTAGGAAAATTGAAGACTTCCTACTAATTTTTTCATGATAAGTAAAAACATACTAGCCAGGCATAGTGTCTCATTCCTGTAATCTCAGCACTTGGGAAGCTAAGGCATGAGGATCCCTCAATCCCAGGAGTTTGAGGCTGCAATGAGATAGGATCATGCACTCCAGCCTGGGTAACAGAGAGTGAGACCCCATTTCTAAATAAATAAATAAATGAGTGAATGAGTGAATGAACATACATACATACACATACACATACTGTTTTTAAACATGTTTATTGGGTGTATAAATGGCCTTTTAAGGCACAGTTAACAAATATATATTGAGTTGAAAAACACGTGTTCTTGCATGCAGGATTCTACCTTCTGGAATGCATCTGATAATACTACTTGAAAATGTGTGTAGAAATGCCCACGCTAGCATATTGGTAGTGGACATGTAAATAACAGCAAAACACAACAAAGGAAAAAGAAAAGTACATATATGTGAGCAATCCTTTTGGTTATCCTGGGTTTTTAAGATAATGTCCACTGAAGAAAAGCAAATCAAATGCAGAGCAACTGAGCAGGAAACCAGGGGGAAAAATACTCTCAGAGTCATAAGATTATCTCATTACACTTAAGTTTTGCTGATGCTTCAAGTTTCCTGGGTAAGTTGTGCCAAAGCACCTTTCTCTGAAAATTTTCTTGCTGCAGAACAAACCACGTTTAGTGTCCCCACCTGGGGGATGGGAAAAAGGGCACGGTCCTTATTTGTATTTTGGAGTGAAAGAAGCATTAAAGTTCTTGCAAAATTTACCAAGGATTCTCCTGGTCTAATTTCAGATAAAACTTCCAACTCCAGGTAGCCTCTGCGGTTTTTTTTTTAAATGTATAATTAAGATGTACTTTGATTTGGACTCTGTTGCTATTGGGCCTGTATATGCAGTTTCAAGATATCCCCATACACCTGCCTGTAATGTTCCTTCCGGAACAGAAGGGCTTCTGAGTTGAGGAACTTGGGAGTATACTGAGTTTCTCTATTCATGCCAGGGGATGGCTGTGGACAAAAAGTAAAGGAGGAGACGCTGGAATCCTGATGTCCAAAGATTCCAAAGTTCAAGGATTATTGTAACCCTTCAGATATCTCATTTTTGCTTTGTTCCTTCTGTCAGTCTTAGTAAAGGGTCCTAGAGTCAGAAGTTGCTGGGGCTTTCTCGGCTTCAGCTTCAGCTTCGTATTTAAGCCCATGGGGCTGGGGACAGGGTTTCACACAGCACTTCACTGGGCACCTCCTGATCCTGGCCATGCGTCCTAAAATCTGACAGTTCTTACACGTTCTCCGTGGGTTGAGGAGCAGGGAGGGCAGTGAGTCAGCATCAATCACAGGTGGCATTCAGAGGTTCTTGTGAGGATATATTTTTGGATTTGGGTATTGGTTTTTCAGGATAGGAGACAGACAAGTGGCCCATTAGGTGTCTGGAAATTCATAATGCAAAGTCATATCCACAACTTACTGTAAACAGAAACACAAAGAGAAAGAACTAAAGGATGCAAGGTTGATGATGATAATCCAGCTGAGTAGATCGTCTTAGATTATGGATGCCAAGCAGACTCTACAGAACACAGTGGGGCTCCCAGGGTGAGGGAGAGTGAGGTAGAGGGAAAGTTTTCCTCTTCAGCTGGACTTTTTCCTGCCTGAGGAATTCAGTTGATTGCATTAGCTTTACATGTGATCTAATCAGTCCAATGCAGTCACATTCGATCTAATAATCTCCCCCACTTTCAAGCTAGGAAAGGATATTTTGTTTGGTGTTTACTTCTTCTCTGCGTTATCACCTTACCACATATGTGTATATCTAATATAATGGACCATAATTTGATATTTGTCATTTCCAAGCATTTCAAAAGTTGTAACATCTGTGTGTACAATTTTAACACTATATATTATTTTCTTCATGTGCAAAATATATATACACATGTCAATATGTTGTCTGTCTTATTCTGCACCTTGAAAGCTGGGCAGGGTCTTAAATACTTCTAGGTGGGAATTGGGACACATATCAGTTAGGGATAAGTTCCTTATGTTCCTGTTCCTGTGCCCCCAGCTTTGAATTCTTGCTTATTAACACGATGATGGGGCTTTGCAAATCTCCCCTTATCTTTGTCTAGGTCCCCAGGGCATTGACGATGGAAAAATTTCTTATTGAGGCCATGATGAGTGGCAGGAGGGAGAAATCTCTTCAGCCAATAGGAGCGAATCATGCCCAGCTTAAGGGCTTAGAAAAGCCAGGTTCACAGGAACAACCTGGACCTCATTCTGGGTATGTGTGTGTGAGAGAGCACCTTTCACTGGAGCTTCACCATGGGATGGGGAACTGAAGACCAGACTGCCACTGCCCCTCCATCCAATGCCCCATTGACCCACCTTCTTTCCACCAGATCTCCTTTACACAAAGTGACTTGGATAAGGAGAAGAGACCATTAGAAGAAAAGATGCTCTCTTCTCATTCAAGTAAGGGCCACGCCCAGGCAAGGTAAGACCTTTGGCTGTTCCTTTGGAGGCTAACAGGAGGGATAGAATTAGGCATACTGACCTATGTCTTTGGCAGGGTTTCACTTTGAGATTAGAAATGGGAACCGACTTACAGTCATCAGAGGGATTTCAGAAATATGGCGTTGATCCCCTGGAACTCTGTGCTTCCCATTCACACTCCAAACTGGCTGAACAGCCTCAACTGAGAGAATGACCCACAAATATGGGTCAGGTATAGACTTTAGGGGTCTGTGCCCAGGGAGAGATGAGTCACATAAATTTTCTTTTGCACTGAGATCAGAGCCCAATTCAAATAAGGGAGAGAATTCCAAGGAAACTAAGCTCAAAGTCAGAAACAGCACTGCTAAATTATGTAAGATGTGATTCTTCCAAGGTGAGAAGAGATTGTGGATGGAAAAACACAGTCTCCTCTGGGAAGAGAACCGGGAGCTCTGGCATCCAGGGTCTTACAAATCTTGGACTCTGGAGAACAGAGAAGAGCCGAGTTTTGGTGGCAGCCTCAGCTCTGGTGTGTCCAGGATGGACTAGAGCTCTAAAGGTGTTCAGTTGGAGGCAGTCACTCAGACTTTCATTTATCCACAGAATCAGGGTCCAGCTCAGATGTGGGAATTCCAGGAAGAGAGAAATCCATTCCATGGACAGCTGCCAAGATAGAGCAGGTAGGATCTTGCTTTTTTGTTGCAAAGGTCAGATGAGCAGGTAATTTATACAGAGCTTGAGCAGTAAAGGGGTTTCTCAGTGGCTGTGAGGATTTTAGAGATCCTGACATCCAGAGAGCATTTGACCCAGGAGGGGCTTAGCCTCACTTCCTTAGGGAGGCAGAGGGGGCCAGGAAGGAGGAGAGATTAATGGGGCTCACCTGAAGGTGCATGGGGACCTTCTGGGAATAAGCATCCATGGGAGCCGTTCTGGTAAGTTACTCACATGCTTCCTCTTCAGGACACTGTCAAGGACATGAGCCAAAATTGTGAAAGGATTGCTTGATTCTGGAAAAGGAACCAAAGGCCTCTGACCCTGTACACATCAACAAAATGAGGAGACCCATGAGGCCTGCTGTGGCTCACCCCCAGAGGCCCACACTGGGCACAGCAAGAGGCCCAGATCTCAATCTCTAGGAGACCACCCACTGCCACTTCGGAAAAGCATGGTGACCTCTCTGCACACTCCGTCTGAAGCCATTTATCACAAAACAGCAGGTGTGGGACCAGCAGGTCTATTCTTTGCTGATCTGGGAACAGCTGTCTGAGCTCACCTGGTTCCAGAGACTTCTGTGCTGTTGTACAGACCTGTGCTGTGGCCACCCAGGTGGCCTCTGTCTTTCCCGCTGAGGGCTGGCTCATCCCAGCCTCGCTGCCTGTTCCCTAGGATCCAGCCCTGGATGGAGAAGCTCAGAGCTCCTAGGAAGAAAATGGGCCCACCCCTTCCCTGGACAGAAGATAAAGGAGCCTGTTGGTGGATCAAATGAGGCTTTACCTGGGGGCACCCAGACCCTATTCAACAGAGGACACAGCTGTAAAGTGAGAACAAAGACCTGCTATTTCTCAGGCAATTTTAGACACACTGTGTTAATACAGTACGTGACACAACGAGGGGCAGTCTTGGGAAAGGAGTTTGAACGGTATCCTCTAAGTGGAAACTGTTTCATTTAGGTCTAAAACTACTCACAAATTTTGTATTTCATGATAGACATTTGATGTTTTTGGATGTTTTATGACATTCACGCATTTCTTTGTAATCAGAAAATATTAGGGTATAATCATTCATATGTGTTTGTGTATTACAAAGTACAGCAAAATGAATGTATATGTAGATCCTCCCACTTTAAGTCAGAAAAGTCTATAGCTCTTTACTCTCCCATTCTGAGTCAATAAAGCACTGATATCTACTAAATTTTAACAGTATTCTCTCTGGAGAAATGTTGGTATTTTTCAATTTGATGAAACAATAAAATCGCCATGTCATTTTCTTTGCTCTAAAACTGTCGGAATGTATTAAGTGCTTATTGATTATATTTCTTTCTTCTTCAACCTGGATTATATTATTTGCCTAATTTTAATCTTCCATTTTATAGGTTTCAATTGAGCTTATTTTTAAAAAAATAGATTTATTAAAGTAGCATTAACTTTCAATAAGCTGCACATATTTAAAGTGTTCAACTTATTTAGTTTTGATGTATGTGTATACCTGGGGAATCATCGACGTAGGCAAGACAATGAACATATCAATTCCCCCAGACACTTTATCATGATTACCACCCATTTCGATTCTTCCTTTGCACTCCTTCCAACCCATCTCTAAGCAACCACTGCTTCTAGTAACAATAGATTGATTTTTACGTTCCAGAATTCTGTATAAACAGAATCACACAGCATAAGATCCATTCCCAGTGTAGCCTATATCAACAGTTCACTACCTTTCAGTGCAAAATTGGTGTCTGACAAGAGCCCTTTTCTCACAGATGGTACCTTCTAGGTGTGTCCTCACATGGCAGAAGGGGCAAGGGCAATCCCTTCAACATCCTTCATAAAGGGCACTAATTCCATTCATGAGGATGGTACCCTCCTGGCTTATTTATTTCCCCAAAGATCTCACACCTTATGGTATTACGTGGGGGATTAAGTTTCCACTTATGAATTTGGAGATTGAGGAGCACAAATATTCAGACCACAGCAGAGAGTTAATAAGAAATAAAAATTACAGTGGAGATGATATCATTAATACTTGGGGTTTGGGAATTTGATGTTCCTATCACAAAGGTTAAAACAACAACCCGTAACAAAATAAAGCTCCAATAGAAGGTAAATCTGTAGAGAAAAAAAAAATTCAGTTTTGATACGGTTAATGCTAATGGGTTGTACCAGGAATTTTGAGGTTTCTGAGGATAGGCGGGACCCCAAGTTTCCCTCCTATGACATTTTTCCTGAAGTTTCTCACACTCTTCCTCAAACTGAAAACGAATAAAAATATTTGTTTTATTATTTAAGAAAGTAAACATAAAGAAGGCCAGTTATGCACGATCCTCAAACAATGATTTGGTCAGTAGTGCTCCGTTGGGCAGGGGCACATAACTTCACACCCACAGAAGCATGATGTCCCATGACACAGGAGACGTCTCCCTGAGCTGGAGCCCTGCCTTCTACAGCTGACCAGAGGCTTCCGCAAGCATGCAGTGCTCTACAGCCCTGCCACAGAGGCTTAACCCTGAGAAAGTAACTGATTACCATGTGCCACAATGTGTGCTCTACAGAGATTCTGCCCTCTATTTTTTTTTTATTTTTAATTTTTTGGGGTACATAGTAGGTGAATATATTTATGAGTTACATGAGAGATTTTGATACAGGCGTGCAATGCATAATAATCACATCAGGGTAAATGAGGTATCCATCCCCTTAAGAATTTATCCTTCGTGTTATAAGCAATCCAATTATACTCTTTTAGTTATTTTAATGTACAATTAATTTTTTTTACTAGAGTCAGCCTGTTGTGCTATCAGATAAGATTAGGTCTTATTCATTCTATTTTTTGTACCCACTAACCCTCCCCACTTCCACCCCCATCCCTCCACTACTCTTCCCACCTTCTGGTAACCATCATTCTACTCTCTGTTCCCATGAGTTTGTTTTAATTTTTAGCTGCCACAAATAAGTGAGAAAATGTGGTTTGTCTTTCTGTGCCTGGCTTATTTCACTTCACCTAATGACCTCCAGTTCCATCCACTTTGTTGCAAGTGACAGGATCTCATTTTTTATGGCAGAATAGTATTCCATTGTGTATATATACCACACTTCTTTATCCATTTATCTGTTGATGGACACTTAGGTTGTTTCCAAATCTTGAGTATTGTGAATAGTGTTGCAAGCAACATGGCAGTGCAAATAGCCCTTCAATATACTGATTTCCTTTCTTTGGAATATATTCCTAAGAGTAGGGATGCTGGATCATAAAGTAGCTTCGTTTTTAGTTTTTTTGAATTCCTCCAAACTGTTCTGCATTGTGGTTTTACTAATTTGCATTTCCACTAACAGTATACAAGGATTCCCTTTTCTCCACATCCTCACCAAGAACCACGAGTCCAGCATGCCATGATGCCCTGTGCAGTAGATATGGGTTCAGGCTCAATCCACAGTTTGACTGTGTTTATTCTCTTCAGAGATGTGACCCTAGCCACAGATTTCTAATGAGTGACCTGACAGATTAGCAGCTAAGATTGTTTTCAGTTTGCAGCCCCATAGATGATGTCTTCATTCAAATAGTCTATAGCTTTCAATATGGAAGACCAAACAGCTAGAAAGTAGTCAATGACACAAAACCCTTGAGTTCTGACCACTGAGTGGAGTGGCCACTCCTGCTTCAGGTTCCACATGGCTGGCACTGAGGTTAAACACCCACAGCAGCCCAGTGGAACCATGAAGTGTCATTTCTCCTGATCCATTAGAAAACGAGGACTAGGCATTTAGTAACTACTCGGTGAATTGTGTGTTGGGGGTGGGGGGGTGGGGTCCCATACAGCCAACAGCATTGCTTTAGACAATGGAGGGGGGCAAAACATTCCCACCAAAGATAAACCCTAATTTTTTTAGAGTTGAAGTATTTCTGTTCCAGTCCAATTTCCTTCTAGATTATATTGTTTCTATTTACCAAGTGACATTCTGAGTTATTTTATTTATTTATTTTTATTGTACTTTAAGTTCTGGGGTACATGTACAGATCTTGCAGGATTGTTGCATAGGTACACACATGGCAATGTGGTTTGCTGCCTCCATCCCCATCACCTATGTCTGGTGTTACTCTCCATGTTATCCTTCCTAACTCCCTACCCCTCGCTGTCCCTTCCTTAGTCCCCCCCAACAGACCCCAGTGTGTGATGCTCCCCACCCTGTCTCCATGTATTCTCATTGTTCAACACCCGCCTATGAGTGAGAACATGTGGTGTATGATTTTCTGTTTTTGTGTCAGTTCGCTGAGAATGATGGTTTCCAGCTTCATCCATGTCCCTACAAAGGACATGAACTCATTGTTTTTTAGGGATGCATAGTATTCCATGGTGTATATGTGCCACATTTTTCCTGTCCAGTCTATCGTTGATGGGCATTTGGGTTGGTTCCAAGTCTTTGCTATTGTAAATGGTGCTGCAGTGAACATACATGTGCATATGTCTTTATAATAGAACGATTTATAGTTCTTTAGGTATATACCCAGTAATGGGATTGCTGGGTCAAATGGTATTTCTCTTTCTAGATCCTTGAGGAATTGCCACACTTCTTCCATAATGGTTGAACTAATTCACACTCCTACCAACAGTGTAAAAGTGTTCGTATTTCTCCACATCCTCTCCAGCATCTGTTGTCTCCAGATTTTTTAATGATCACCATACTAACTGGTGTGAGATGGTATCTCAATGTGGTTTTGATTTGCATTTCTCTAATGATCAGTGATGATGAGCATTTTTTCATATGTTTGTTGGCCTCATATATGTCTTCTTTTGAAAAGTGTCTGTTCGTATCCTTCACCTACTTTTGAATGTGTTTGTTTGTTTTTTTCTCGTAAACCTTTTTTAGTTCTATGTAGATTCTGGATATAAGTCCTTTGTCAGATGGGTAGATTGCAAAAATTTTTTCACATTCTGTTGGTTGCCGGTTCACTCTAATGATTGTTTCTTTTGCTATGCAGAAGCTCTGGAGTTTAATTAGATCCCATTTGTCTATTTTGGCTTTTGTTGCCAATGCTTTTGGTGTTTTCGTCATGAAGTCCTTGCCTATGCCTATGTCCTGAGTGGTTTTGCCTAGGTTTTCTTCTAGGGTTTTTATGGTGTTAGGTCTTATGTTGAAGTCTTTAATCCATCTGGAGTTAATTTTAGTGTAAGGTGTCAGGAAGTGGTCCAGTTTCTGCTTTCTGCACATGGCTAGCCAGTTTTCCCAGCACCATTTATTAAACAGGGAATCCTCTCCTCATTGCTTGTTTTTGTCAAGTTTGTCAAAGATCAGATGGTTATAGATGTGTGGCATTGCCTCTGAGGCCTCTCTTCTTTCTGTTCCATTGGTCTATATCTGTTTTGGTACCAGTACCATGCTGTTTTGATTACTGTAGCCTTGTTGTATAGTTTGAAGTCAGGTAACATGATGCCTCCAGCTTTGTTCTTTTTGCTTAGAATTGACTTGGCTATGCAGACTCTCTTTTGGTTCCATATGAAGTTTAAGGTGTTTTTTTCCAGTTCTTTGAAGAAGGTCATTGGTAGCTTGATGGGGATAGCATTGAATCTATAAACTACTTTGGGCACTGTGGCCATTATCATGATATTGATTCTTCCTAATCATAAGCATGGAATGTTTCTCCATCTGTTTGTGTCCTCTCTTATTTCATTGAGCAGTGATTTGTAGTTCTCCTTGAAGAGATCCTTTACATCCTTTGTTAGTTGTATTCCTAGGTATTTTGTTCTCTTTGTAGCAATTGTGAATGGCAGTTCGTTCTTGATTTGGCTCTCTTTAAGTCTGTTATTGGTGTATAGAAATGCTTGTGATTTTTGCGCATTGATTTTGTATCCTGAGACTTTGTTGAAGTTGCTTATCAGTTTCATGAGATTTTGGGCTGAGACGATGGGGTCTTCTAAATATACAATCATGTTGTCTGCAAACAGAGACAATTTGACTTCCTCCTTTCCTAAGTGAATACCTTTTTTTTTTTTTCTTGACTGATTGTTCTGGCTAGAACTTCCAAACTATATTGAATAAGAGTAGTGTGAGAGGGCATCCTTGTCTAGTGCCAGATTTCAAAGAGAATGCTTCCAGTTTTTGCCTATTCAGTGTCATATTGGCTGTGGGTTTGTCATAGATAGCTTTATTATTTTGAGATACATTCCATTGATATCTAGTTTATTCAGAGTTTTTAGCATAAGGGCTGTGAATTTTGTCGAAGGCCTTCTCTGCATCTGTTGAGATAGTCATGTGGTTTTTGTTTTTGGTTCTGTTTATGTGGTGAATTACATTTATAAACTTGCATATGTTGAACCAGCCTTGCATCCCTGGGATGAAGCCTACTTGATCATGATGAATAAGCTTTTTGATGTGCTGTTGTAATCGGTTTACCAGTATTTTATTGAAGATTTTTGCATCTGTTTTCATCACAGATATTGGCCTGAAGTTTTC